CTTTGCTGAGAATTGTGTTGGCAAATAAAGTTAGATAGGGAAGACCAGCACCTGACTGCCTTCGCTTGTCAAATACGGCTGTTCAAGTTATTTTATTCGATATGTGTAATGCACCAGCCCAATATGAGGACAATCAATTTGTGATTACTTTTTACTTGGAACTGAACGGGATAATGATTAACCCAAATTAGTAGTGTAAACATGATGAATACCGATATTAAAATATTATTATTACTATTATTATCATTATTATTATATATATTATAAAATAGTCGAAACTACAAAGTTAATGTGTTGTTTGTATCACAAGTACATTAATTTTAGTTTCTGCTAGATAAAGTGTTTGGATGGATAGATAGAGGAGTAATAATAATAATAATAATAATAATAATAATAATAATAATAATAATAATAATAATAATAATAACAATAACAATAACAATAATAATAATACCTTGCTCTAGAAACTTAATGACGCTATTATTATTATTATTATTATTATTATTATTATTATTATTATTATTATTATTATTATTATTATTATTATTATTATTATTATTATTATTGTTGTTGTTGTTATTATTATTAACATTATTATTATTATTATTACTATTACTATTACTATTACTTACTTACTAAGATCTATGTGATTTGTAACAGAAATTTGTTTTAATATGTCGCAATAAAAACCTAGTTCTCTCAGATGTCTTATATTAAACACCCCCGTAATCATTTACGTCCATTTCCTTAATTCCGATTTCACGCACTGTGATATCAGGTAAAAGCTTTATATTTCCTCCTGAAATAGACGTAACCGGTCGGTAAGTTTCGTGTATTTTGTCTTTTGACATGTTTTGAAGTACGTGACAGTGCTCATTCTAGTATGACTATGTTCCTATATATAATATTGGCATTATGACCACCGAAGCGAAAAGGCCCGGTCAAAGACAAGCTCTTATGAACTAGGAATCAACGTTTTCGTCAGATCCTTCAGCGCATTTTCGCCTTTCCCAGTGTTCAGTCACATATACGTTTTGAATTCGGGTCCGATGCAATCTGATTAAAAAAAGATCCTAGTTTGAGTTTGTTTTGTTTTTTAAATTAAATCTTTTTTAAAACTTTTTTTTATTATTGTTCGGCATGTAGATGGCACTCGTGTTCTCTGGAGTAAATTGCACCACCCGAAGTACTAGTATATGTACACTCCTACCCCTATTCAGCGCCTATTCCAAAAAAGAAGATAAGAGCTAGCTACGCAATTGGCGAAGAAATCCCGAAATCTATTAACTGTATATAAAAAAAACAGCCAGTCTATGTTTATATACTTTTAATTTCGATTAAGTTATTCTAAATTTTGACCCTGAGCGGTGTGCTAGATTTTACACTGCGAAAGTATGGCTCTATAGTAGAAATCATCTGATCAGTGTACCCGGTAACAATAATATGCTGACAAATTTAGGTTGACGATTTTTCTCACAATGTGATCGTGTATGTTTAAAGAGACTGTGAGGTTGCGGGCAGATATCCCAGGCAAGTTTACGGGCACATTTCATGTTGTAAATACCAATGGATCTAAATCTAAACTTGAATACATACCTCTTACAATGTCCACTGAAAAATAACTCCGAGTGTTGCATGGGGCTGTAATTATATAAATAGTAAGTTAGAGCAAAGAACGATCTACAAGGAAGTAGCAGCCTAAAATAAAGCCCACCTAAGTGAACTGGCGATATAGCGTCCTACGATAAGTGAACTTTGACCGAGATAACTTCTGTTACAGTATAAATGACAAATTTTCGTAATCCATACAAATGCGTATAGCATCTGGTGAAGATCATGTATAGTGAGTTTAATCCATAATTTCCACAATTCTATTTACTCGCGGTGAAATATGTAACTACAGAAACATTTATACTGAATGTTAACTGGAATGTCGTTCCAGAATCCATATGTTTTATGCGCCCCTTTAACGTATGCGCACGCCACCGTAGAGTAACCGTGGTCTGTGTCTGTGGTCTGGTACTATTAATGGCCACAGGCGTACGTTACGCCGGCGTAAGGGGAAACGGGTGCAAGTACGTTGCATCAGCGTATTAGGAAACGGGTGCAAGCACGTTACTACAACGTAAAAGGAAACGGATGCAAGCCCATTACACTAGCGGGAAGATGCTAAAAATGGCGACCCCTCCTACACAGGCTTGCACGCGCGATAGAAAGAGGGTGTCAGCGAAAATATTACGTAACTCGTGCGTCGACGTAAATACAAGATAAATACGACACATGTGACACATGCATTTAGCCCCTAATCTGAATGTGAATGCCATGCTCAGATATGCTGAATAGTTCAGCATGAAAATGACCACGCTCATATTTTTCAAACAACGCCCACTAATGTGAAACCACGCCCAAATTGTAACACGATCTTCAATTAACAGTTAACAGAACATACATTTTGTTTTTTGTTCAACGTTCACATTCAGTAACAAGAAATTTAAATAAAGTTAACCAAACTTCGAGTTACGGGCAACATACATTTTTGTTTTGTTTAACTTTCAAATTTTGTTATTCGAACTTTAATTAATTTGAAAAATATACATACAAGACATATCAAAATTGAACTTGACCAAGATCCTAATATCCAAGTTTGAAAACAATTGGTCAAAAACTGGGTTTTACAATGGAATTGACCTTGAAAATAAAAACGAGGACAGACGTTTTCCGCTCACATACCTCAACCACAGTCCCATAGAGGGACTGTGCCTCAACCTACATCTCCGGTGATACCGACAACGTAAACATAGTTAAACACTAATAACATTGCCCTTTGTTACATAATACATAATAATATTTCATTTATCATAGATTGTTTTAATATGAATGTGCACTGCCATAATTGATTTTGAATACAAACGAGTTTTAGAATTGAAACAGCAATGGGAGAGCAGTCCATTTCTCGATAGATGCAATTATCTTACAAAAACATTGCTGCCTAATTTGTCTATAATTAATCATTTTCTGTGTCTAAGCAATCTTACTGAAGAATATTCTTTCTTTAATACCAAATCTGTATTTTTTCCTGATGATTATCGGTCTCTTTATCAACACTGAAATCATTCATCTAATTTGGATTGGGATTTCTTTTATCTTAAATGTTTTTTACAATTCTGTTAATGTCATAATGCAGCACCATTTTTTTCTGAGGCAAGGCATTTTTGTTTGTACTAATATATCTCAATTACTTAGAATAACATTAATACAGAAGTACAACTGATTTGATTTAATCCGAATACATTTATGAAGACAGAAAATAGGTATAGATACCTTTCTGTAAAGGGACTGGAGAGTCAGTAACCAAAATAACTCATTCTTGTGAAACGGAACCAACAAGGTTATAATACAGTAAAAACAATTGACGGAAAAAATATAATGTATAATACTTGTATGTCATATCCTCGGGGGCGGAGCTACGTCACAAGACGTTCCACGTTGCTAAGACGCGCACCACTGTACCACGTATTTCTACGGGCTCTGCGCGAGCTGATGTGGAACGCGGAACGCCAAGCAAAGAGCTGGTGAAAATTCGAGAAAACAACAAGAACTCAACTTTGAAGTAATCCCGAACAATCAAATTTATATGCGTTACACATGCAGGGGTAATCTTGTTTCTCTCTCCACTCCATCAATTAGATATCGGTAACTAACTATGTATACTTCAAGACTGAAGTTGATTTACATAAAAAGCATCAAGTTTGTAACATGATAGTTATCCCTAGAGGGCGCTTTTTACTTTTCTCAAAAATATAGTCATCACTCAACGAATACAATGAGGCAGTTCATATTATTCTCAATATATCAGTTGGGCAAGAATTAGCTTTTTTTTTCTGAGGCTAGGAATTTATATTTGTACTAAAATATGATATATGCATATCAACAATGTGATCAGTCAAGTAGAAACAGACTACATTTGTTATCCAATTTGGACTACTACTTTCACAATTTGTGCATATTTTCACTCTGGAAAAATTGTATACTGATGAATGAAGTTTGATAATTTTTGGATTAGAAATACTCAAGTTATCATGTACACATTAACAATTATCAACAACACCCCCCCCCCCAATATACTTTGATGATTGGGGCAAGGTAAAAATGCATAAGTGGTTTGTTATTTATCTCAAAGCACCTATGCAACAAGTTTCATTGAAATCGAATGACAGGTTCACAAGATATATAAGAGAAATATCCCTGACAAAGCTTAAAATTAGATAATTATGCAAAAATTATATTTTTCATATTCATGGCTTTCAGTCAAAAATTAATCACGTTCATGGTTTATTCCAGAGCACCTATGTATCCAATTTTATTGACTAACACGTCAATCATTATGGATGCAATAACCTATTCCTATCAGGGTGGATGATGAACACAACTCACAGCATTAATACAGTTTTGATGCGTGATGTAACTTACCAAATTTATTTGCACTATTAGAAGCACATACATTAACATATATATATCGGTGTGTTTATGGCCAAAATAAGTCATATTTTAATATTATATCACACAATTCATGCATTTTATGGTTTAGGTGCACTCTAGGAAAGATGTACCGTACTTTAAATACAGCAAATATACATAGTTTGATGTGCAGGGCAGTAACGGACAGTTGGTAACCATAGCCTCACCACTACTGCAATCACTTTCTCTTAGCAGCTATTACACATTTTCTAGACTTTCGCAATGATAAGACTTCCTTATTCACCATATTTTTTTTCTTGTACATTAAATACTAGTATTTCAGTGCGGCAATGTATTTTTTGTTGTTGAAACAGATGTGAAATAAGACTGGGCTTACACTGTACCACTGGAATACCTTGTACCATCAAGAATTTCAGAACACACTATCAAAATCAAAAGTATTATTTATTATATGTATGTACAATACATGAATATTTATTGTCATTTTAACAATAAAAACTTTTTTTTCCACAAGAATTTAAAAAATAATTCATTTCAATATAAAATGTCAGCAACTTCCAAATACACAATGTACACAGTTCAAGGTTTGAAATTGAGAAAATGAAAAATTTGTTCAAATATTTACATTATAATTATTTATTATGTTAATTGATTCAAAGCATGTTTACCGGTACACGATTAGCTGAGCTCTGTACCAGTCATGTAAATGTAACAGTAACTAAATTTGTAGGTTTCTTGATAATTATTTAATATATAGCTTAGGACACAACTATGGGTTTCTTGAACATGCATGATGTAGTCATAATAACATCAACAAGCCATTATTTATGCTCTTAATGACTGTAATGTTACAGCTCGACTGCCAAGAGAATTCCCAGCTTTGGGTTGCCCAGCTTTTTTCCTCATATGTTCAGCCATACCAGGAAGACGTGAGAAGTAATTCCTCGCCAGTGTGTGTTTTGAGCGGATTTTGTGACAAAACACACGTCCATAAGACTGTAAAAAATTAAAAATAAATGAATTGGTTAATAATCAAGATGATCAATACACAAACTGCATGTGAGACAGGGTACTGTAAGAGCTGTACTGAGGCCTTCATCCTGCAGTGGATTAGCCATGGCTGATGCTGACATTTATAATTACCAAGAATCTACCCTGTGGCTGTACCCCTGTTCAATGTGCTTACGACGCATGGGAATATTTGGCACAGAACAAAGGATTATGATATTCAAAACATATTCATAGTAGACAGCTAGAATTATGAGTTGTTACATTTACCTCTTCTACTTCCTCCAATTTGACATGTGCAGCAGCTTCGTCTTTAGTTAACAGTATACAATTCCATGGCGACCATTCCTCGCCTCTGTCCCATCGGACCAGTACAAGATCATACAAATCATCCCATGCACTGAGAGCACTCTGAGAGCCCCAGATGTTCTCAACCAAATAACGCAAATCAACCTCCTGTAGAGAAAAACAAAACAAAGATGGTATTGAGTCTGAAATCAATTATTTCAATGCAGGATATGAACTGTATATGAAGACAGTATGCTAATACAGTGTGTGATATAATCATCATTTTTCGTATGAAGACTTATACATTTAACTCCGAAACATTACCAGCTAAAGCTAAACAAGCAGCCTCTCGGCTAAGATAGCTCCGCTGTTTGTAATGCACATTTCAATTATAGAACAGAAGATATCATTAGAAAATGAACAATATGCATAGTATCAATGCAATGGGACTTGCTGTTTTCAACAAAAATTCAAAAATATCATTTTTCACCATAAATGATTGTGGTTTTTAACAAGAAGAAAATATCACTTTTTACCAAAAATGACAAAAATATTCACCAAAATTAGAGAATTAAAGATATCATTACAAAATGAACAAAACTGAGAGAGGTTCACATGTAGTACCTATATATGTAATAATATTAAAGCAATTGGACTTGTCGTTTTTAACAAGAAGTCGAAAATATCACTTTTTACCAAAAATGACAAAAATATTCACCAAAATTGGAGAATTAAAGATATCATTACAAAATGAACAAAACTGAGAGAGGTTCACATGTAGTACCTATATATGTAATAATATTAAAGCAATTGGACTTGTCGTTTTTAACAAGAAGTCGAAAATATCAC